ATATATATATATATATATATATATATATATATATATATATATATATAATGTTTTATTTTATTTTTTTACTGTATTTATTAATAAATTTCAATAAGGCACTGAAACTATCCAAGCTTCTTGTTTGTAGCATTGTGGTATTCTTTTTTTTATTTACTATTTGTTAGGGTGGAAAGTAATGCACCAAGTACAATTATTTTCTTTTTATTTGTCATGACAATCTGTGGAGTATGGCAGAGTATACATACATTAAAGGCTTTCATATAAACTGAAAATCTTCTGCATTAAACAGAAGGGTGTGGATGTGTTGACAGATTGTGACAAAATGTCTGTTTTTCTATTTTAAATTCAAACCTGCATTGTTTTGCCTTTGCTGTTTTATCAGCAAACCCTCAGTTAAAAGTTAATTCAGTTTCATTTCAGTTTATTTATAAAGCGCCAAGTCACAACAGAAGTTGTCTCAGGGCACTGAACAAAAACATTAACCTACATTATAAAAGCCAATTAGTAACAGTTATCCATCTAACAAAGCCAGCAGATTGCGTTGAATCTTCACTTTATCGCAGTCTCCCATTCTGAGTAAGCACAAAGGCAACAGTGGAAAGGAAAAACTCCTTTTTAACTGGAAGAAATCTCCACAGAACCAGGCTCAGGATGAGCGGCCATCTGCTTCGACCAGCTGGGGTTTGAGAAGACACGAAGGAGAAACAAACTGAACGACAGGTCCAGGTGTACTTTCTATTGGAGAAAAGACATAAAACACATAAAGATAGAAATAATTACAAATACAAATGGGTAGAGTAGAGTAAGTAAAGACAGCAGCAGAGTGAGGAAATGTAGTAAATATGACCTCCTGCAATCTAAGCCTATAGCATATAGCAGGGATAGCTCAGGAAACCCAAGCCACCCTAACTAGGATTTATCAAAAAGGAAAGACTTAAGCCTAGTCTTTTTTTTTTTCTTTCTCCCTTGTCCTGTCTGGCATTGTGACACTTAGAATTATTGTCTGAGTGTCAAAGTGACGCCCAACAGATTTACTTTCTCAAGCAGAGCATTATGGCTGGCCTTAATGCTCCGCTTGATATATAAATTAAATTTTATTAGAATTTGCTTTGGGCTTGTTTCAGATGTAATGGACATGGGGATGAAAAACAAAGAAGATAACAAAGCAGAAGAAGAGTTCAAAGGTAAAGGAGATAGGAATAGAGGAGAGAGAGAGAGGTTTAAAGAGAACACAAATCAACATAATTGAAGTCTGCCTC